GTGAATGGGTGAATGAATGTAGTGTAAAGCGCTTTGGTCAAGTCTCCTAACTTGAATAAAGGCGCTATATAAGTACATGCCATTTACCATTGTACTTGATTAGACAGCTGACCCTTCAGTCTAACAACCCTTGGTCTGTTTGTCAGGTAGTCTTTGATCCAGGTGATTGTTGATGCCTCCACCTGAGTCTTCTGGAGTTTCTCACAAAGTAAGTTAGGCTAAATAATATCCAATGCCCTGGAGAAATCAAAGAACATGATATTCACAGTGCTGTCTGCATTGTCTAAAATCAGGCATTCCCAAACTCGGTCCTCAAGGCCCCTGTCCTGCAAGTTTTAGAGGTTTCTCTGCTTCAGCACAGCTGGTTATAATGATTGCAGTAGACCAAAAGCCTGTTAATCAGCTTTCAATTAAAATCAGCTGTGCTGGGGCAAGGAAACCTCTAAAATCTGCAGGACAGGGGGCCTTGAGGACTGAGTTTGGGGATGCCTGGTCTAAATGACAGCCGATTTGTTGAAGCAGGTGTATGATGGGATCTTAAACTCCAACTCCACAGTGATAAGCAAACTGTGGGGCGTCCTGATAGCTTCTTGTTTGCGTGCTGAGGTGAACCAACAGAAGTCTCTCTAGGACCTTCATGATGTGGGTTGTCAGGGCAACAGGTCTATTTTGGCACTGGAACAAGACAGGAGGGCTTCCACGTCACTGAGACTGTCTAATGGGTCAGACTAAGGTTGAAGAGGTGCTGTAGAATCCCACAGAGCTGCTCTGCACAGACCTTCAGTACTCTATAGGACTGACACCATCAGGACCTGGTGATTAAATATCTAATTGATTAATGAACTTGTGGGACATTAAAATGACCAGGGGATCAAAAAACAAACATCTTATGCCACATTAAGTCAGATTGTCCCACCTGTGTTCGCGCATTATCATTTTATTTGTAGTCACAGAATGAGAAAGAATGAAATGGATGTAAATAGGTTGATAGCGCCATTACTAAATTTATTAGTAAAAGAATCCTTTAAAATCTTCAGTGTGTGAGTCGTGCTTGAATCATATGTCAGCAATTGGTTTTCAACATGACAGGTTTATCTGGGATTCCATCCAACATAAAACCTGGTAAACAAGGCCAAAAACACACAGCTGGGGTATTTCTGTAGTAGTTTTAAACTTTAATTATTCCAAAAATATTTTCTGATAAAAGTCTCAGAAAACTGTGGTCTGATTATGTTTGGTTTTTACTGACGTGTGGCGACATCATAAATGCAATGTGGATGAATCAGAGGAGAAACTAAGAGGCCATGGGCCATGGACGAGCTGCTGAGATGCACAGCTCAGGTGGGAGGATATTTAGAAAGAGCGTAGGAAAAATCTGGTCTCACTTTATGACTTGGAAAAGACAACAAAGGTGTTAATAAAGTCTTACAGTCGTATTGGCGACTAAGTGAACAAGAAGATTCTTGTCTTAAAAGATCAATAATTTAGAGCAGGGGTCGGGAACCTTTTTGACTCAGAGAGCCATGACAGCAAAATATCTGGAAATTTATTTCAGTGAGAGCCATATAACACATATTTTAAGACTGAATTCAACTAAATGCGAGTATAATAAGCCTCTCAACTTATTTTTTAAATAATGTCGTTATAATACTCACCATTAATGCGACTTCTGGTGCTGCATGGATTTGCTGATGGCTTTGTAGTCTGGTTGGTACTTGGTAAGGTTAAGCTTCATGCAAGCATTGAGGCTTTCATCCGTTAAACGTG